AGCTTCCGTTGGAAACGAACTAAATCCCAAAACGGCTAGTACACCGCCGCTCTCCCAGGTGTAAGCTAGTCCGACATCCCCATATTCTTCAAGTCTTGCCTTCTTTTTTGATCTTGTGTTTAAACCTGGCAAGTTTGCCAATATGGAGTGATTGCAATTTTGGCTTTTGAGCACCCAGTTGAAGGTACAAAGATAGGTATGGTAATAGGTTGCCTTCTTCTCCTGTACTAGCACTCTCACTTTTGAAGACATATTTCTTTGAGAGCTTGCTTGTGGCTGAAGCAGGCCAATCATCATCATAAAACTTGTTCCAATTTTTGATTTGAATTAGAAAGTAAGACATTAAATCAGATGATATATGGTTAGATCCATCCTGAACCAATACCAACCAAACTGGAAGTATTAAGTCAACTCCTGCTTGGTTATGCTTACATATTACAGCTGCAAAGCGAATAAACAAACTCCTTAATTCTGTCTGGGTTGGGGTGTAAGTAATAGTAAGTGGAATAAAATGTGTAAATGCAAGTAATCCATTAGCAAGCCTTTGAGTATGAGGGAGGCCTTGGATCTCATCTTCATAGTTCTTCTGACTGAAAAGAGATATCAAGAAATCCTTACTGTAATTGGTTTTGAAACAAACTCCTTTGTGTATCCCAAGGCTTTATTATTATGTAATGATAATATTTCTTTATTTTTAGTAGCTTGATCCCAAGCAATTGTCAAAAGCAGGTGGGCAACCAATTCTCCACAATAGCCAGGTTTTACATATCCAGTCTGTAGTGCATCCAGCAAGAAGCTGAGTAATTTTCCAAACACTCTTTCACATTGCATAAGTGATGCAGCAGCCTCAGCAAGTATTGGTTCAGATGGATAGAATGCCAATAGTTGATGTTGATCCTCTGAAACATGAACACATATCCCCATGAACCCAGCAACTAGTTCTGAAGAAACATGTGATTCAGCTGTGATATCAAGTGAAATACGAGAAGACAAAACAGCAAGGGCTGGTTTTTTGAGCCAGTTAGGCACAGTTATACCTCCACCCAATACCAAGAGCTTTTGTTCTGCCGGTTTCAAAAGGTCTTTAATATCAGCACCATGTTTCAAAGCTTGCACCCCATAAAGGTCTTCCCAGTGCAAACAGTTCTTGTGGACTTAATAGCTGATTTGTGCTAGAGCTTGTTTTGGCAAATATATCAAATGTAGCCATATAATAAAATGGTGGGAAAAGTTCATTCTCACGCAAATATAATTGGGCAGATGGATCTAGATATGCTGATGGTGCAAAATTACTTAACTTTGAAATAGTATCAGTGTCGGATCGCCACACGTGGGAGAGCGTTTGTGTAATGACCTTGGGATTTAGTCGTCTTCCGGCGGAACTCTTAGGCTCGTTCCTACTATCGCTAAACCTCTATCCAATTAGTG